GTTATTGTAAGCAGTACTACTAATTTAAGTGAATCGGATAATTTATATTGGAGAAGAAGGACTTCGCAAAATTTAAGTTTAAAAAAATAAAGACTGGTGGTTTAGAAGACTGTTAATTATTTTTAAATTTTTTTATATTCTTGGTTTCATAAATGTTTCCATTTTTATTACAATTGTTTTTTTTTATCCAATTACCTCAGCTCAGGTTCATACCAAAGATGCACTTTAAAATATTGACAAATTTTAATCTGAAATGACTTTTTTATTTATGACATAAAAAGTTCTTAAAAATGTAGAAAAAGTGAAGAGATCGAGAGTAAAGCTCTATATTGTATTCCCTGCATCCCCTTAGCATTAAATCAAGTGTCTGCCTTAGCTAAAAAAAGGACTTGCTAATTGGAAAAAATTCAATAAAAAATTGCCTAAACATAAAAAATCATCTAACCACACACTTTGCTTTTGTTCGTAGAAAGCGTTAGAATCTTGTTTAGGAAAGGGAGGTATTGGTGTAGAACTTAAAAAAAATCGATCAACAAGTCTCATTGGAAGGCGGTATAGCGCTGCATTATCGATGGTATTATATTCCTAGCAAAGCAAGGAAGTCCATTATGAGAAACTAAAGAAGACTGTGATTTCAGCGACCCATCCAGTGAAAAGTTCTTGAACACAGTAAAACTTACATCGCATTATCCAATGTGACAACAATGTCCCTTTTCAACAATATATTAAGCGGCGATTGAGTTTACTGAAAATACAAGCTGAATATAGCCGCAAATATCAAAAATATTTCGGTTTGGCATTGTTGACATATTTTTATAATTATGCTTCAAATATAAAGAGATAATGTTTTTAAAAAGTGGGTAGTCTTCGTAAGTGGGTATATTTATTTAAAAACCCTTAAAAGGGCTACATAAAAAAAAACAAACGTTTTCGGACTAAACAGTCCATCATCAGGTTTAAAATCGCCTAAAATAAGTATAAACCAATTAGTTAAAACAAACGTGGTTATGAAATTTTGACTATGGTTAAAAAGCAAAAATGGCTATACTTACTAGGTTAAAATACCTGAGCCACCAAAATACATGGGTAAAAACCCTTTAAATTACATATAGTTATAAAAGATTATACATCTTGTTGTTAAAAAACTGTGATGTTCAGTATTAAATTAAATATGACTTCAGGTAACTTCCCAGTGTATACCAGTACAAAGCGGAATCAGGCAAGATGACTCGTTAAGCCCACTTCTCTTTAATCTAATAATGGACGAAATAATACAAGCAGTATGTAAAGATCATGCTTACAGAATGAGGAACAAAGAAATCCAAAGATTATTTTATGTAGACGCCGCATTAATCGCCGAGACAGAATTAGATACCTTCAATACAACAGCTAAGAAATACAATATAATATCAGCAGAAAAACCCAAACGTATGACGACGTCTAAATACCCACTACGATGTAAAATCGAAATTGATGGGAAAATAATAAAGCCGGAAGCAAGGTTTAGATATCTGGGAGTAGATATAACTAGTTACGGAGATGTTGAAAAAGAAGTACGACAACAAAGCTTAAAAGCAAGTAAAGCGGCGGGATCTCTTAATGACACAATTTGGAAGAACAAATACCTAAGACAAGATGCAAAAACAAGAATCCATAAAGCAGCAATTAGACCTATATTAAAATACACGGCGGAGACCAGACCTGACACCTCTAAAACGAGACGACTACGATACTAGAAACAATAGAGATGAAAATACTTCGACGAATATCAGGGAAAAGACTGTTGGATAAGGAGGTAAGCTAAAACATAAAAAGAGCATGATATATGACATAAATGGTAGCAAAACGGTAACAGGAGTGGAACGAGCACATTAGTACAACGGCAGAGGATAGTACGAATGGCATGAGATAAGTCACCAAATGGACGAAGAAGTATTGTCAGACCAAGATATAGATGGTGCGATAATTTAAACAATTTAGGAGGCTAATATTGAAGAAGAAACAGGTTTTAAAGCCTACACGCAAGAAGAATTGAGTAAAGCGGAAAGGAAAATCCAAAAAAATATTAGACAGCATACGAAGAATGGCAAAATGAAAAACAGTTAAAATATTCTTTGAAAAACTGACCTCAAGAAAGAACCCTCAACATTAGAAGATTAAAAAACTTATACAGGGAGAGGGACGAGCGTAGAAGAAACAGATCAAGAAAAGGACATTGAGACAAATAAATCAGAGAACAGAAGTAGAGAAAAAGAAATTGGAAAAACTGAAAAAGTAAAAAGCTAAAAACAAAGTAAAAATCTGAACTTTGAATGTGAAAACCATATTAGTGCGCAAAATTAGTCCATCAAATGAGAAAGTATGAACTAGACATATTAGCATATTTTTGTTCAAATTTCATGATTTTTTCTTTTATGCCTTAAACACTTATTTATGCTTTTCAATCCCACAGTTTGGCCGAATATGGCAAGATCTTTACATGATCAAGCTGAATTGCATTGAGCATTGAGCTGAATGATTTTTTTATAGCACATCGGATCTCAACAGCGATAACAACACCGAAAACCCTTGCGGATTCATATCATGATCAGAATTAGCGATAACAACAAGGTATAAATGTGTAAATGAAAAATCCATAAAAGAAACAACAAATATAAAACTCTTCCCACCTTTTTAAATCCTTATAAAACATCTAAGCCGCTATAAAAATCATTAACAGTCACTATATCGTCATGATTCCTCCGCCTATTATACACTACTTTCATTATTTCCTCTCTTAAAACAAACTTTCTTATGAAAACTTCCGCTACTGTGCCTTAGGTAAAAACGCGCGCGCCCACACACACACACACACACACACACACACACACACACACACACACACACACACACACACACACACACACACACACACACACACACACAATTTGTACAAATCCCCAGCTTTAAGGTTTCGCGAAGGTTGACTTACCTGAGGGGCTGTTTTGCCTGAGCGGCGTCTTTATGTGCCTCAGAATTTACTGAAGATTAATAAGATTTTATTTTTTTTATTTATTTATTAAAACTTACAACCACCTAGGTGGTAAGTACATGTAAGAGTGCTCATTACTCGGTATAACAATATACACACAAAAAAATACAATATACACACAAGTACAAAATAAAAACACAGAAAGTAAACACATTAAAAAAAGATACAACTTAATAAAATTTTAAAATTGAGTCCATTACTATTCTATTGATTACATTTTTTAATATTCCTTACACTACAGTTAAAGAGGTCTATATCACAGATCTTTATTAATGCATTACACTGATATTGCATATAGTTTATTATTGCACAAGAATTGTATGGACTACAAGAAAATAGGTCATTACTGTTTACCCTTAGGTTGACCTTTGGCACATGAAACCTAATAAAGTTGGTCAAACCACATGTCTTATATTTAACATTGTTAATAATATTATAAATAAACATAACACAATGCATATTTCTTCTTTGCTCCAATGACTGCAAGCCAAATATTTGAAGCAAGTCTTTTGATGGCGTAAGGTGAGTATATACATTGTATTTCTTAAGGTATAAATACCTTAGAAATCTTTTTTGTACTTTTTCTATATGATTAATATGAACTTTGGCTTCAGGAGTCCATATCACTGATGCATATTCCAAGTTTGGTCTGACTAAAGCGTTATATAGTCTAATGGTTGTGTTTATGCTAAAGTGTTTGGAATTTCTTATTACAAATCCCAATATTTTGTAGGCCTTATTAACAATATGTATATAGTGTTCATTAAATTTCATGTTAGCCTGTAGGTATATTCTCAGATCTTTTGGTTTTCCTTGATACTACACAATTGTCAATTCTATAATTATTTTGAATGTAGTCTATTTTGCGAGTAAAAGATATGACTCCACATTTCTTAATATTCAAGTTCATATTGTTGTCCCTAAACCATTCCACAACTGAGGTCAGGTCGTCCTGTAGTAACTGACAATCATTTGGAGTATGTATAGTCTTAAAAAGCTTAAAATCATCAGCATAGATTAAACTAGAAGAAAATTTAAGAGATTGTGGTAGTGAGTTGACAAAAATTAAGAAAAACAAAGGCCCTTGCTCCCTTGGGGGACACCAGATGTAGCCTGAAATTTATCCGAAAAACACCTACCAATTTTGACTCGTTGAAATCTTGATTCCACCTATGATTTTATAAATGTACAAGCATCATGCGAGAAACCAAACTCATTCAATCTTGATAAAAGAATGCCATGGTCAACCATATCAAATGCCTTTGAGCAGTCAGTCATTATTAAATCCAATTGTAGTTTATTATTTATTGCCTCACTAGCAAAATTAGACAGAATGCACAGATTACTAGTTGTGGATAACCCAGGCAAGAAACCATGTTGTTCTGGAGCAACTTCATTTCCAAAATTTTTCAGTATATTCATATAGAGAATAGATTCAAATATTTTAGCCAGGGAATTAAGGATACTTATAGGACGATAGTCTTCTATATTGTTTCTAATACCTGATTTAAAAACTGGAGTAAAGGTAGCCTCTTTGAGTTTGTCTGGAAAGGTGTTAGTTTTAAGAGATAGATTAAATTAGAAAGATGAAATAATAATAAGAAAGTAGCAATGGGTGGGGTGGGCATTCCCAGGAGTATACGACCATTACACATCCCGTGTATATATTTTTCGGTTTTTATATTTTACAGTATACCCAACTGGTTTGTGAAATAAAACATAACTAAATAAAATAAATAAGATAATATAGGGATTTTTTTCTGTTACTGCGTACGTTAGACTATCGTATGCATATCTCATTCTTTATTAATCTTCTGGGATATCTCTATATCCTGCTAGATTTTGCCTGAGCCGTCTATGTACCTTCATTACTGGTAAAAACGCCAGATCTAACAATCCGAAAAAGAAGTGTATTGTTTCTTAGTAACAGACTATCGAAAAAACATTTCCTTGGTAACGATTGCCAGAAATCAAAATGTCAGTGTCATATAATAACAACAGCGATATTTAATTTTTACCAACCAATATTGCTTTACATAAGCGATGGCCACTGAAAGAATAATTCCCTCACCAAATACTTTGGTCAAATATGATAACCCAGTTTTAGTGTCTAAACATGAAGCAAAGCCGGGACCGTCTGGAGTAAGTTTGTGTGTTTATATTTAGATGTTTTTTTTCATAATACTCTTTTTTAGCTTGTGTTATACATAAATGTTAGTTTTACTACTGCTTTGAACTTATTTTATATTCTATAATAAAAAAACATTACATTATTTTCTTTTTTGAACTAAATATATATTAGTTTGACTCGTTTAGTTAATATGTTTTTTGCCTTCACCTCTCTTTTTTCTTCACTCGAACGTAGCTAATATTTTATTTTGCAATATGTTATTTGAACTATCTTCTTTTATCTCTTAGTTCCATTCTAATTTTTAAACTTTGAATGGTTTGTTCTATTTGTTTTGTAATTTTTAAATTCTCTACTTTTCTATTAATTTTCAATTTAACCGTTTCCATTATAAGATTTTGTTTTATTTGTGTTTTCTTGAATTCCGTAATGAAAGTACACCATTAGGAGCTTTATACCAAACTTTTGTTGTTTTTTTTTCTCTGTAAGATTAGTTTAGTTAGACTATCCTTACCTTACTCACATCATAATCCTCATTCTGGCTATACAACTCTGTGTTATTCCTAGCCTCCTAAAGAATTTCTATCTAGTCATTCCTATCCATCGATCTCCTTATAGAAATTCGTTAACTGCTTCGATGACGAAGTTTTCTATAACAACTGGCCATAGGATTTGTATTGCTTGCTTATTTTCATGTATTTCGTTTTATTGATGTTTGCACTGCGTATGCTATAGCCCTTACTCCTTGTGTTTTGTTTACTTCTAGTACCCCTTGTATAAAATATTCCATAGTGTGGATCCAAGGATTGACCCTTGGGGTACTCCAGTAGTCATTTTCATTTTATTTTTCTTCGAAATGCATACGCTTCTCTGCGATAAGTAGGCCTTTGATATATTGGACACATATTCCGGGGTCCCAAATTCGTAAATCGTGTCTATGATGAGACCCCAGTTCGCTGAATTGAAGCCGTTTTTGATGTCCAATAAAACAACATTCACCCATTTTTTTTTGCTTGTTTTCACCGAGTTTCTTATCCAGATCGCGGCGTCGACTGCTGATCGACCTTTACTGAATCCATATTGTTGGTTGGATAGAGCTCTATTATCTGCCAACACGCCTTCTAGCCTCTTCTTGACAAGATTCTTATAGAACTGACTAAGGCAGTCCATAAGGCATATTGGCCTATAAGAGGATGCTGAATCGGGGGGTTTCTCAGGCTTTAGGAGCAAAATCAGATTTGCTTCCTTTAGTTCCCTGGGAAACTCTTGCTTCCGCAGTAGATCGTTATATATTTTTCTGGTCAAACCTGGTTTTTCTGTTGTTGTTATCTTCAGTGCCTCAACAACCTCCTCTTGTAAAAGTCATGCTGGTAAACCTCAGGGACTATTAGCTCTATGGAACTCACAACGACGACTCTGCAATCGAAAAATGGAATTGCGATTAGGAACATGGAATACCCTAACCCTGTATTGAGCTGGAACATTCGCATTTTTATTAGACATCTCGAACACGTATACAGTGTATGTTTTGGCACTGCAGCTAATGCGATGGACGGGAGCCGGCACTCTTAACAAGAAAACCCATGCCATATATTATAGCTGCAATGAAAGTCAACACATAGATGGAGTGGGATTTATTCAAATAACAAAAGGCCTTTTTATTAACTATAGGGTCTTTAGTAAATGAGTTATTTACGCTTAAAGGGATATTCTGTTATTACAGTTTGATCAACGCACATGCCACGACTGTGAAGACCTAGAACAAGTCTACAGAAGATATCCTAGAAATGACACCTAAGTTACGACAGATAGTGCTAAGTAGGACGAGAGCCAGTTTTCATCCTCACTAGGTATAGCCTACACACTGTCAGTAACAATAATGGATTACGGCTGATAAGCTTAGCAACAGCACTAATCATGACAATTGCTAGCACCTATATTAAACACAAGATAATATCTACTAACTACAAACATCGTATTTCGGCCACATACTTCGAACAGATTAATACTCTCTTCTGCACGTCTTCATAAAAGGAATAGTAGAGGGAAGAAAAGATTCTATTTAGAATAGCTCGAGACAGAGACAGTTTCGCCATGTTAATCGCCAACGTCAAGGGGACTTGATAGGGCACGTTAAGAAGAAGAAGAGGGAAGAAAAAAGAAATCTTGGCAGAGGAATATCAGAGATTGGACTAACCTAAGTGTTGAACAGATATTTTACGTTGCAAAAGATAGGAAAGTGTTTAAAGAAGTAATGGCCAATCTTCGTTAGAAGATGGCACAATAAGAAGAAGACAAACTAATGCAGAAGTCTGAATGGCGCCCTATTAACAAGAAAAGATGTATTGAATCGAACGGTGGAATATTTTTATCGTGTACTTAATATAAAGGAAGGAGAAGAAAACCTGGAAGACGATAGAGATGAGGTAAGTAAAACAGACGAGAGAGGAGAGAAACCACCATTGATTCTAAAGACGCAGTTAAAAAACTAGCCAGAAATAAATTACTGGAACTTCCACAAGCATAGCTCTCCTCATTTGTTGGTGAGAGGTAATGTGACCAAAATTTGGTGACCTCAGTGTAAGTTTTCATTCGACACCATAGGATTATTGGCAGTACGCATTGATCTTTGTACTGGTATTTTTTGGTTTATTGGTAGGTATATTAATTTTAAAGACGTTCCCCAACCTTCTATATGCGGTGCATTTTACACTAATAATTGTTCTTTGCAGTATCTAAATTTGATTGTCTATGTTTATCCTCACTTCACGTCCTAAATACTTATATTCGTTTCATAAAATTTAGATCTGTTCCTGTAGGTTTATCGACGTGTATATGTAGACGTATATTTTTCTTTTATGTAGGAAGATGTAGGTAGAAGAGCGACTTTAACGGCAGATGTAAAACGAGAAACTGAAGAGATTCTAAATACGATCCTGCCACCAAAGGAATGGGAAGAAGAAGGTCAAATGTGGAGACAATGTGTCTCGACAACTCCAGCCACAAGACTGGATGTAGTGAATTTACAAGAGCAACTAGATATGAGATTGCAACAAAGACAGGTAAAATCTAGTTAGTTTCACTCTATTTTTTAACCAATTAAGTTAACTCTTATTAAAAGAAACATCTTTATAGTTGTTATTTGTTAAAATCAATCATAGATTCAACTTCAGTTTACGTAGTCCCTTTTCAAAATGATTTTCTAGCTATTTTAATTATGAATTTTCTTTAAGTCACTTATCTTTTGTTTGATTAGAATGTATTGAAATCGCTGGTTAATTAATTAAAATAATAAATAATTGAATAGACACTTAGCGTGACTCATAAATGTTATCTGTACAAAGAAAGGCACTTGCCATTTGTTGAAATGTTATTAATTAGCAGGTATAGGGGTAAAAACCGGAGAGAATCAGCTTTTGTCAATCAGCCATACTCGAAGATTGCTGATAAATTCTAACAATTACCTTTTTATTTTACGAATGTATAATCTTGATAATACCTCATATGTCTGATGATTTTTAAAATTATATTTAAGACTAATTTTAGAAAGAATTCCAAAATTAATCACCAGCAAGGTACAGTAATCGCCATCTAGGAAGAACCAGCACTAATTCCAATTTTTGTACCGCTCTAACCCAAACTGGGTTGATACATGGTTGATACCGACCACCACACTTGATTAAGAACGTCATCCATCAGCAATTTCTTGACATTTGGAAATACTATAGATACGCAGTTTTGGTTTTTCCTGTCTGGCGTTTACAATAACAGCGTTTTTATATTAAGCAATTATATTAATTAGATCTACATTTATTTAGGCTAGAGAAACGGGTATTTGTCCCGTGAGAAGGGAATTATATACTCAATGTTTTGACGAGATTATCAGACAAGTAACGATCAATTGCGCAGAACGAGGATTATTGTTATTAAGAGTGAGGGACGAAATGCGCATGACCATAGAAGCTTATCAAGCTTTATATTGTAGCAGTGTAGCATTTGGTAAGTTGCTCATAAATCTTAATGCTAATGTAGGGAAAATATAATATACTTAATTTAATACTTACTCAATAATTAAGGTTAATTATACAGGGTAGGCAACTATTCTAGAGATTAACGGTATTCAGGGAAGTTATTGCTCATGAGGATAGTACTACAGTTCAACTACCGTTGACGATATGACTTAAGGAAGACCTTGCTGTGTTCAGTGGTAGACAAATACCGATGAAACTTAAAGTAAATTCTACAAAGCGATATCTAAATCTATCTACTTTTAATTGTTTCGTATTATTTACGTATATTATTCAAATGGTAATTTAAGAGGAAAAATTTATGCTAAATAATATCAGAAGTTATTCATAATCATAAAACATTGCATTAAAAAGCATCAAGATCAGTCTTTATGAAAGTTTAAGACTAGCAATGATGCATAACACTATGTGTTTCAGAAATGAGAAAACTCATTACAAAAAGCAAACGAAGTGGTTATTAAAATGTGCGAGAATCAATACGACTTCTAAAGAATTTCTTACAAGGATGTACCATCTCTATGAAACATATTTAAACGAAAAAATACGGAGAAATTTAAGTACTAGCGAGAAACGAATATTTAGACACATATAGTCCCTGCCAATTTATTAGACTAACAGCAAATTCTACCAGGAAAAATCATCCAGGGAAAGATTAAAGCCAAGAGAGGAGAAGGTCGCAAACAAATGTGGTGGCTACGGAACATAAAGAACTGGACAGCCAGGAACTTTTGCATGCCGCAAAAGATAGACGTCTGGCCTTAAGATAATTCTTCAACGCACTATAGATGCACGGCACTATAAGAAGAAGCAAATTCTAGCTTTCTTTGTTTTATAATTAACTATAATTATAACTAAGTTAGCTATAAATAAGAAACATACATATTTCCTTACCATTTACAGAACACTTTCATTCTGTCACGTCTTGATCATGATGAAGCCTTTATCTATATTTTCAATTTTTTTTGTAGGTATGAGAAAGGCTCTACAAGCGGAGCAAGGCAAGTCAGATCTCTTCGAAGACGTGGAGACTTTAAAGAAGGAAAAACAAGATTTAGAGAATCAAATTACAGAACTAAAACAACGTGCCGAACAGGCCGACAGACGAGCAGCTGAAACTAGGTTAGCCGAAGAAAGGAAACATACGGAAGAAATAGCCTTTTTGAAGAAGACTAATCAACAACTTAAGGTAAGTTGTTATTAATTTAAATTTTTTTTATAATTGAAAAAAGCACAATATTTTAACAGAATACCAACAGTTTGTAAATAATTAGGAAACTAAAAACAAAGAAAATAAAGACCATTGATATCCTATCCAAGAACCTATCTTAGCAAGTAACTATTGTTTGTTTCTGTCGTTTTTCACAAACAAGGTTTTCTTAGAATGGATGAATATAGTTTATGCTCTAATGACAACATTTTTCTTGCTTCAGAATACTCTTATTCGGTTATTTTAGGAGAATGAATGAAAAATAAAAAAATATCTACGACTTTTGCTATTCCCATGGTTTAGCGGGAACCGTGACTTAAGATTCTGATCATTACTACTTATTTGAGCAATCATTAATGCAGGGTTGTAAACGGAGAAAAAGAGGGCAGTTCAATACACGAATATTCCACTCCAAAAATTTAAGTTAGAATTAAAAACTGAAGACAGTGTTAAATAAAAAGATAAACCGCACAGATTGAATCAAACCCTCATTCGAGATCTTGATTTACCACTGAAACTGAACCTGAAAAGGAAAGTCATATTGTTTCTTAAGAAGTTTTGATTTGATGAAATATCTAAATTTGGACAATGTGATTAACAATAAAGAAAAAGAAGCTTGGGAAACTCTCAAGGGAGTTATTCATGGATCTTTAGCAACAAATGAGATAAATACTGTTCCAATTTAGTAAAACTGTTATTGACCAAATTCCAAGAATTCAAATATAACATGTGTCTTAAAATCCCCTTTCTGTATTGCAACCTCAACTTTTTCTTCCTAGTTGTGTAGCTGTCCACCAAAGCACACCAAATGGCCTGTATCGATCAGAACAGAATAAGAGTCTCTGGCAACTCTTCCCCATGCTTTAACTCCGATGGATTTTAGAACATCATCTATGTTATCTTGATACCTAAGTTTTGGTCTTCTGTCAGGTTCTCTTCCCTTGGTCTAACGTCAGGTTCCCCAAAACTTCTGTATAACTCAAAGTTGTAGCGCCTACGCCATAAAGACTGTTTTTGGATTCCTCCATATATTTCCCTTAGAATTTTTCTCTCGAAACGTTTAAGCAATTCTTGGTCGTTCTGTGTAGGTGACCACGTTTCTGTCCCGTATGTTAACACTGGCCTTATTAGTGTTTTATATATGGTAGCTTTAATTTTTCTATGTAGTTTTGCCACTTATTGGCAAGCACTATTCTTCTTTTAATTCCTTCGCTGACATTGTTGTCTTTGGTCAGCAGCGAGCCCAGGTAGATGAAGGGGTCCACACCTTCCAGTTCCAGATCATCAATTAATAGTCTAGGTATCTGGTTGCCTGATCTAGTTCAATACATATACTTGGTTTTTTGTGCGTTTATTTTTAATCCGATTCTCAGTGCGGCAGTGGCGGCCGCCCAGGTAAAGTAGGTGAAGGTAAGGTTTACCAAAAAAATATAATTTGAGATAAATAAATAAAAAATGAAAGCAACATTATTAGATCTAAATTCTGAAATCAATTTTTTATTCTCTTTTAATTGATCTAAAAATTAAAAAAGACAACCAGCTTTATTAGGGGTAGGTACTTAACGGTGAAGTCCTGACCTGTGTCACTAGCCGTGTAGGATTTAGTAATAGGTGAATATCATTTTTAAAATGCGAAATCCATCTGCATAATCGTTCACGGTTGCCATGGCAACGTGACGTCAGCCTATCCTTAGTGATAACTGAGAAAACTGGCTAGTGCAGTTCCGTCTAAAAATGTATTATCCATCTTCACTACCACTGTTGGATGTGTATATTTGATATTCCTAGTTTTCGGAAATTTCTCTCAGCGACAATATTTTGAAATTTAGTCTATTATATAGATATTTTTTATCTAGTATAGTATAGTATTTATTAGTTTAGTCTAGTCACAGTATTAATTTTATTTGTTTAGTGCACTTTATTAATACATTTCTCTGTGGTTTGTTTCGGATTTCGAATATAAAGTGTTCTCGTGGATTTCGTTTGGACAAAAATAATTTTAGACAGGCATGAATCCAATTAATGACTTGGTGTGTAATATATTAGAGACTCCGTTTAGGCATTGGAAAAATGAAGACAAAAGAGATGTTCTCTTACATGGTCGACCAACCAGTATTTTAAACATTTGCGTCTGATCCAGAGTGGTCGGCTGCAATCAGCATCTGACCCAGAGTGGGCGGCTGCATCGAGACTCACCAAACCGTTTTAGCAGGCGTGGTGTTTTAATTGACAAAAACCCTCAATGAAATGTCAAGGTTCAGAACTAAAATACCCAAGGCAAGCAGAACGAGTCGTCTCTAGTATAAGTGCCCTAAAAACTGTTTTCAAGTTATTAGGACCCTAAACTCTATACACTTTTTTTAACGAATTTTTAATGAGATTTGGGCGCGAAGTAGCTACCAAAACTCCTTTTGACTCCGACAAGCTTTCCTCATCTTCACCACTATTTTAGGCCACGAGCCGCCGCTGCAGTGCAGACGTCCTTAATGATCAAAATACTTCGATCAGAGATTCTGTGGACCTAGCAATAATGTCTATGTTATCTGCATATCCGACAACTTGTACAAATTTATTAAAGATGGTGCCATTCGTATTAATATGGCATCCTCGAATTACTTTTTCTAGTGCAAGGTTAAATAAGAGACATGACAGTCCATCTCCCTGTCTCAGTCCATTTTTACATTGGAAGCGTCTTGAAAAGTCGTTTTGGATATTCTGACTACACTATCTACGCCTGTGAGTATAAGTTCCGTTAGTTGAACAACATGAAGCGTCATTTGAAATTCCACCATAGCCTGTAGAAGTTTTCGTCTGTTGAGGGGGATCAATCTTCTGTAAAATAAGTTGGACAGTACTTTATATGTCACGTTAAGTAGGGTGATGCCTCTATAATTATCACACTCCCTCATATCTCCTTTTTTGTGAAGAGGGTGCATTACCCCTAATTTCCAGTCTGCGAGCGTTTCCTTCCGCTGCCAGATTTCGGTTATTAATTTATGCATGTGTTTAAAAAGGGTGTCACCACCATTTTTAAAGAGTTCGGCAGGAAGATTGTCCAAAACAGGGGCTTTGTTATTTTTCAGTTTTGAAATGGCTTCTCTAATTTCTTCTTCGGTGAGGGGCGGCTCTTGAGCGTTTTCATCCATTTCAGGCAAGGTAATTTCTGTTCTTATTGTATCTTCTTCTTCTTTGGGTGCCGTGTCCGTATTCAGACGTTGGCCGTCAACATGTTTACAATTTCCTGAAACCTTTCTCTGTCGGCTGCTGCGCGAAATAATTGTCTAATATTACGCAGCCATGAAAGTTTCTTTCGACCAATCCATCTCTTTCCTTCCACTTTTCCTTGTATAATAAGGCGAAGTAAATGGTATTTGGGTCCTCTAATTATATGGCCGAAGTATTCTGTTTTTCTCCTCTTTCATTTGAAATGATTTGAAATTTGAAATGATTTACCCTTTCTATCTCTTCTCCATTAAGAGAAAGCAGACCTTGATCTATATGGATCTTTCCAACTGCCATCCACTTTGTCTTTGAAATGTTGATTTTTAGGCCTCTCCGATAACTTGCTTCACTGACTAGATTTAGTAATGTTTGGAGATCTTGTAAACTTTCTGCAAGAATGGCTGTATCGTCAGCGTATCTAATATTGTTGATTACTTCTCCACCTAGTCTTACTCCCTCTTGTCTGTCATCCAAAGCCTCCCTAAAGATTTCTTCAGAGTACAGATTAAAAAGAGTGGGTGACAAAACACAACCCTGCCGTACTCCACGTTTGATGGGTATTTTTTCAGTGGGACTGTCTCCAATTTGGATAGAGGCTACTTGATTGTAATATAAGTATTTCAGCAGTCTTATATCATAGTGGTCAAGTCCTGCTGCCCGTAGGCAGTCGAAAAGTGTATTGTGTTGGACTCTGTCGAACGCCTTCTCGAAGTCGATGAAACAAACATAAACATTCTTTCGGAATTCACAACTTTTTTGTAATAGAACGCGCATACAGAATAGTGCCTCTCTAGTTCCTAGACCGTTTCTAAATCCAAATTGCTTATCCCCCATCTTACTTTCGCATAGAAGGAATACTCGGTTTTGTATAATTCGTATCTTCAGTGTGTGACTCATCAAACTGATAAGTCTTAAATCGCTGCATTTGGTGGGCCTGCTTTTCTTTGGTAATGTTATAAACAGTGACTCTAACCAATCATCTGGTATTTTTCCTTCGTTGTAAATTTTGTTGAAGAAAGTGGTTAAGCAGGCAATGCTTTCCTCATCCAAAAGTTTAAGTAGTTCGGCAGGGATTTGATCTGGTCCAGGTGCTTTATTGTTTTTGGCTTGCTGTATTGCCTTTTCGACTTCCGAATTCAGTATATTGGGACCTCTGTCCAACTGGTTGTCATAGGCAGTATTTGGAGCATTTTCCCTAGAAGCATCGTCAAAAAGGTCAGTGACGTATCTCTCCCATTCTTTGCACTGTTGTTCGTGATCACAAATTTTTCCGTCCGCGCTTTTAAGTATGTGAGCATTTTTCTGTTTTCTAATTCCGGCAGTATATTTAAGTTTCTTATGTAGATTGAAGCTGTCATGCTTTTTTTGGAGGTCTTCTATTTCTTTACATAAATTCTCAAGCCAGGATTCTTTGGCTTGCTTAATTTTTCTTTTTATGCGTTTATTAATTTCACGATATTCGATAATATTTCTATTTTTGTGTTGCCGTCGAACTTCCATCAGATCTAGAATTTCTTGTGTCATCCACTCATTTTTTGCCAACATGGTAGGTATTTTCAAAGACTCTTCTACGTTCTCTAAAATCGAGTTTTGAATGGCATACCAGCATTCGTTAATGGTTCTGTTTTCGTTTGGTATATTTGATATTCTGTGTATTTTACTATTTATTTGCTGTGTTATGTGTTCGCGCGTTTGAGGGTTTTTCAGGGGGTCGAGATATATCTTACAAGGCTTAGTTGGCTTTGTTAATTTCTTCAATTTAATTTGTATTTTGGAGCAGAGTAAATTGTGATTTGAGTTTATGTCAGCGCCGGGGTAAGTTTTTACATCTTTAATATTGTTTCGAAATCGGTGGTTTATTAGGATGTAGTCTATTTGATTCCGTACTATTCTGCCTTGATGTCCATCTTGAGGGGATTTCCACGTGTAAAATGTATGGTATACAATCGTATTGTATACCATACGATAAAGTAAATAGAGCTATTGTATTCATTTTTTCAATCCAAAATTAGTAAGATTTGGCTCATGAAATGAAGGAAACATTACAAAAAATTCAATTTGTTTTAGTTAAAGTACACATGTTATAGTCAACCATAAAGCTGTTATAGTCTATACAAAAATCGTTTAATCTTATCCATTTTTTTTTGTTTTAGACTCAATTAGAAGGTATCTTAGCACCGAAGAAGTAGACAAGAAATAAAAACGCCAGAGAAAATATATAGTCATTTATTAAAAACGTGGAATTGTTTTTTCCAAAGCACTTTCGTATTATATTAGTTACATGTATATAATATATTGTCCCATTCGCTATATCAACATCTGCGCCGCCGTCTTCTACATACAAGAAACATATAGTTAGTAATGAATAAACAATAATCGAAGATGGCGGCGACGCAGACTCCATTATACAATATAAAAAAAGCCTTGGAAAGTTGTTTATACATCGATAAATTCATCGTAATAAAAATATTTAAGATCTATAAATATTTTGTACAATAAAAATAATTTAGAAATATATTTTAAATATAATTTTAACAATAGTATTTAAAAATCCCTTCCACCCTGGTGAAACAATTCATGAGAAAATACAGACTGATGAGTTGGCAACACGGCAATTTCTAAAATATAGGAATAGCAAGTAAGTAGTGCACTTTTCAAAATTTCTATGTTGCCAATTCCCAACTTAAAGATACAAAAATTCTACTTTTTACAAGAGATTAAAAATGTTCGCATTTATTCACTAGTGTTTTCCTTTTTTGGATCTTTTCCGTCTTCGTCGTTTGTTCGTAGCGCCATCGGCGGATTCAAGCGTTTTTTCCTGATCCGTTGTCGGAGTGGGAGGTTCGGATATTTCGGATACTGATTCTTCCTCTTCGATGTCGTTTTCTTCTTGGTCTAGTTTAAGGGACTGCGGCTTCAGAATATCGTCGTACTTTGTTAATTCTAGTGATATGATTTTTTCTTGGATTTGTTCCACCTAAATAAAGTAAATAAAGATATTATGTTGATGTGTGAATATTGAATAGACAATCTGTTAGAATTTTTGGAAAAATTTTGTAATTACAATCAATATTTTATTTACATCCGAAGTATGTGAGGTATACTGTATAATAAGTGTATACTGTCTAGTATAATAATTATTAATTATAAATAACGAAACCATATATTATAAAGTAATAAAAATTTAAAAATAAAAACCTTATTTAAAATACACTGCTCTATAAATATATTTTTTGTTTTTCTTTAAATATAAATCTGATAATACAATTTATGTATATTCACCCACATGAAGTCTGTTAAAAAAGGGACACAGAAAAACCACGTGTTCCTTACATTACAAAATATTTTAGACTAAAACTTTAACAAATTTAAATATATTTTTTCATCAATTGAATTTTTTGAGGGAGTGAGTAGATTCCCAGTAGAGTACATTTTTCAAGATGGCGGCCGTCAAGCTTAAGTATCATGTCTCAATCGGGTGTTGTCGGGTAACTTCGGATATTGATCATTTTCCAATGTGGCAGTCGCGTCCGATCGTAAGCTGACGTATCCTGGTGTTTCGAGACCACGCCCTACGACCAATGGTGAACACCCTCGTGACGTCGGATCATTTTTCCACGATTGTATCTTGGTTTATTTCCAATGGTGGCGTCAGGAGAGTGTTCACCATTGGTCGGAGGGCGTGGCCACCTTGGAAAACGATCAAGACCCGAAGATACCCGACAACACAGGATTGAAACATGAGGATATGTACTCTTGACAGCCGCCATCTTGAAAAATGAGCCAGAACCCGCTTTATATATCTACTGGAGTATTTCTTATATCTACAAATACTTTTTATCGTCTGCGCACGGAGCAATGGTTTTTAGTTTAAATTGACTACTTTGATTCAATTACACTCGATTTATTCTCTATCAGATATACCTTTGTTCTGCCAGTTCATTTTGCTAAATATATTTTATATAGGCTTATGGATATAACACATGGTACTGAATCCACTTCTGAAGTCAGTTTGCTTTGATATAGTTATATCTTATATATTCACGTGTATGAATATCTCTTTGCTATCTTTCTTATGAATGAGAATTATGTTTACTGTATTCCAGTTTTTTATTATGACTCTTGATCTTAGGCAGTTCGTAAATATGGGTGCTAAGATTTTGCAGGTTTTTTTTGGCAGCGTATTTAAGCAGCTCCACTGTTATGTCATCTATTTCAGCTGCTTGACCGCTTTTCATTTTTGTAATTGTAAATTCTACTTCTTCCGGAAGGACTTGTGGTACATCTTCTTGTTTACTGATTGAAGTATTTCAGGAGCTTTGTATAGTTTGCTGTATAATTTAGTCACGTTGTATTATTTCATTTCTGTCTGTAATTATGGTGTTTTCGTTTGTTAGAGCAACGATTTACTTCTTCCCAATAATTATTTTCTTGTTTTCTTATAGTTTTGTCCCTTTTTGATTGAATTTTCTACCAGTCTTTCATTGCACTTTCTTATGTCTTCCTTAGTACTTTTCCTTACTGCCTTACAAAGTTCTGTGTATTGTACTCTCTGTATGTTGCTTCTTACTTTCATGTACCTTCATTGTTTTAGCATTACTTTGGTTTTATTAGACAGTTTTCTGTTCATTTTATTGTTGCACGCCTCCGTTTTCTTTGGCACTACCAAGGATGATTTCCATTAATTTAGAGCTGTCGATTTGGTTATGTAGTCTTTCATCAATTATCCTTTGATAGTGATGTTTTGATAGGGATTGTTAATACCTATTTATATCGGTTATTGTTGGTTTTGCGATTAACTTTATTTTTTATAGTTTTAGATAAAGAACAATTTTTATTCTGATTAGTCTATGGTCGCTGCCTGTTTGAAATTTATTTATTACACTGATATTTTTTATTGTAGCAATCTTATTGGTTAGAATGAAGTCAATTTCGTTCTTAGTGGTTCCATTTTATGCTACCTAAGTCCATTTTCTGTTCGGTTTTTTCTTAAAGAATGTATTTGCAATAGGTTTGTTTTAATAGTGTGCAAACTGAACCAGTCTCCTTTCATTTGACACCGACTCTACACTTTCCCATGACGCTCCTTGCCGTTTTTCCCTACTTTGGCATTAAAGTCACCAATTAGATACATGAAGTGACGTTTATTGTTATTTAATGCTTCAGTTATGGTACTGCAGAGATCCTTTATTTCTTCGTCAGTGGGGGTAATCGTTATGGCTCTATTTGTATAATTTATCTGAGAGTAAACGATAGAGGTATACATGAAAAATGTGTTGCATATAACATACCCATTTACAACTTGTGTATTGATTTCAAACATGTGTTGATAAGTACATGTAGGCTGAAACTATAGAAAAGTACAATGATCATGAGTATCACATGATCTGAAGCTGGAAATAAAATTAAATGGATTAAACAAAATAACATAGCACGGAAAGTGTTTTAGATTTCGATAAATAGCGAAGCACATTAGAAAAAGTTACAAACTGGAAACATCTACAGATGATAAGAAAATCAAGAAAACCCTTGAAAAACCATTAGCCAACAAGTTAAATAACTATATCAACCTAAACAAACTACTTTCAGTCTTGTTTGCTTCTATCGGCATCGAACTCACTGAAGAGTATTTGAATGTCCTCGAAATACTTATGAATATAGCACAACTCAAAGGATAGTGAATGTTTGCTACATCATTTACACTGAGTTAAAGTTATCGCTTATTATTTTTCCCTTATTCAGTTTTTATTTTTCCCTTTTGATGATATAATTCTAATAAATACCATTTAATTATACACATAAAACACACGTAATTTTCGATGAACAAAATACATATGGAATCTTATAATGTTCATAATACAGCAGCGAAAAAAACTTGGTTGATTTTTCCAAAAATTCTATTTCCTTAATTATTATCTTATTACATATATACATAATTAAAATTTATATTATACTTTATTAAATCATATGTACAGCTTTAATTGGTTTAATGTATATAAAAAGATTAACTGTAACTATTAAAAAAAAAGAACACCAAAAGTTGTTCTCCAAAACAAAAGCTTTAATGGAAACACCTAGATCAAATTTATTATTTAAAAGTCAAATAATAAAATTACCTTTTCATGAAATGAAAGGTTAAACAGAGCAAGACAATAAAACTTACTAATACCTTTACCAACACTAAGGGATAAATAGAGACATTGGTTTTGACGTGAGATAGTAAAATTTTATATAAATATTTTGGCCATCTTTAAACCAAAATTTGGTTTACTTTCTCATATTGTTTTAAAGAACGCAAAAATTCTATCAATTGACAAAAGACATATATCTCACAGACTATGGCTTTTAAGTTTACAATTTGTTGTAATTTCATTGATCTAAGAAAACTTAACACATAGTTTAGATTTCATCTTAGGGAAGTTTTTAGATGATGAAGAATTGTTGATCTACCAAAATAATATTCTTACTCAATGGTAATATAATTTTTTTATAGACACTTAAGAATATCCTGTATGCGGCAATGAGATTGTTAAAGCAGTAACTAGACTAGAGAGAAAAGGTTACCCGCCAAGTGGTTGAATCTCTTTGAATACTTGGTCGAAGTGAATTAATGAGAGTAATCTGGAGGCTGTTATTTTTTCTCGTCGGCGTAAGTACTGGTCAGTTTAAAGTGTGATTCGTGAGAGGTGATACCATATTAGATCGTCATGTTTGGTCCATTGGCAAGCTCCATTATGCCCTAGAATATTTGATAAGTATTTGGATGCGAGTAGATATTATTTGAGTTTTGTTCGTTTATTCTATGGACATACAACTATGGACCTAACAGGTGGAAACTGTATTAGATCTACAGTACCGGCAAAAAAATCTATACACAGTGAATAAAACACATAAATCACGATAATTGTTGTTTAAATTTTACAAATTAATACTTTGTCATATCACCCTTGTAGTCGATGACAAGCTGGATTTTCTTGGACATGGATTGAGAAATATGATTCAAGAAATATTTTTCTTCCATGGTCACCCACAACCTTTTCAACTCCTCGTTCAGCTGATTTATGTTACTCGATCGATACTCTTGAACCTTATTTTTCATCATATTCCCAGATCTAGATCTTTCTGAAACCGGTGACGAATAGTTTTTGTTAAAACGTTCTGAACGAGACCAGGATGTTTATTTTTGAGTTCAGTGGTAGTTATGGAATGGTTCGACATTACTTTACGCCTGATGACGGTGTCAGTCCTAGATGATGTTTTTTTAGGAGCTCTAGAACCAGGTTTTCTTTCCGGAACAGTCCCTGAAGGTAACGACGCAGCCGACCGTTTTAATTGATAAATTGCCTCTCTTGAAACACCGATATCACGTGCTATAGAAATTACAGAGTTCCCTTTCTTAACTAATTTTGTGTGAGTTTCTTCCGACCCATATTTTTCACTTCAATTTATAATTTAACGATCCCAAACTTTACTAAGTAAATAAAAAGAAGTTTAACATCGACTACTCGCACAAAGCCAACGGTCTACAGTGCA